TACCTGGAGTAGCTCCTCACCCCGTTCCAGCCTGCCATCACCTTCTCCCCGTCTTCTGCAGGGACGTGGCTCGGGGCTATGAGAACGTGCCCATTCCCTGTGTCAATGGCGTGGACGGGGAGTCCTGCCCCGAGGATTACAAGTATATCTCGGAGAACTGTGAGACGTCCACCATGAACATTGACCGCAACATCACCCACCTGCAGGTGAGTAGGGGGCCGGGGCCTCCCCAAAAGGACACCGAGAGCTGCCAAGTACAGTTAGACAAGCTTCAAACCAACAAAGGCACCTAGCCTAGGAAGGGTTGGCTGAAAGGGAGCCCTGGTGTGGGGTCGCATCCACCCCAGGGGAGGGAGCCTTTTCCTGGGTCACAGAAAGGTGTCATATGAACTCCCAGTAGCCGTGGGGACATCACCATGAGCAACATACTGATTCCCCATCACCCTCGGACCATCGCCACCCACTGTTGTAACACATGGACCCCAAAGAGAGGACGGTGGTTAGGGGGTCGGGGCACCAAGAGTAGAGGAACCCAGACCTATCGTGGGGTTGAGCTGACCCCGCCTCCTCGCCCCAGCACTGCACGTGTGTGGACGACTGCTCCAGCTCCAACTGCCTGTGCGGCCAGCTCAGCATCCGGTGCTGGTATGACAAGGTGCGTGCCCCTTGCCTTGGCCACAGACACCCGGCCCCTCCTTCAGAGGAGCCAGCCTCCAACAGGCCAGCTCCCTGGGACCTTGTCCTTCACCTACCCTGTGGGGGAAGTGACAGAGGACGGGGCAAGGCCTGGGAATCCTGGGACATGGCTGGGATAGCGATGGGCGTGTGCCCAGGTCTATGCAAATCAGGGATGATGCTCTTGCATTTCCTGCTCTTGGATCTCAGAGCCTGTGTGACCTCCCCAACCCCATCTTCTCTGTCTCTGGGTTGGGTTCAGCAGTGGATTTTTCTGTAGAGTCTTGGGGTTCCTGGGCGGGCAGCTGAGGTGGCCCCCAAGGAGAAACCACTGTGTTCTCCTCCGCACCCTAGGATGGGCGATTGCTCCAGGAATTTAACAAGATTGAGCCCCCGCTGATTTTCGAGTGTAACCAGGCGTGCTCCTGCTGGAGAAACTGCAAGAACCGGGTCGTACAGAGTGGTATCAAGTGAGGCCCTGCTCCACAGCCCACCCTCTCCCCACCTCACCCTTTCCTCCCTGCCCCTGGGGCTTTTCCAAGGCCTCCACCCAACAGCGCCCTCTCTCCTACTCCCAGGGTGCGACTACAGCTCTACCGAACAGCCAAAATGGGCTGGGGGGTCCGCGCCCTGCAGACCATCCCACAGGGGACCTTCATCTGCGAGTAAGTCACCAGGAGCACCTTGACACCTGGTGGGAAGGAGATACATGGCCACTGCTGACTGCCAGGCCTCCCTCTCATCCCCCTACCCTGATGAGTCACATGTCTCCATCTGGCCACTCTCTAGCCAGCCTCCTCTGACCCCTGTTCCTGCAGCTGAGCAGCCAGCCTCCTCTGACCCCCATCCCCGCAGCTGAGAATGGCACCTGCCTCCACTCTGCCCAGACCACAGGTCTTCCCTCCCTCCACCTCCACCCTCTACCTTCCCCTCTACCCCCTCCTCGCCCTTCCTAGCTGGAGAAAGTGCCAGTTTGGGAGACAAACAGACTTGGGTTTGAGCCCCTTTCTGCTTCTGGATGTCCTTGGCCAAGTTACTTAACTTCTGTGAGCCTTATTTTTCTTGTCTGTAGAGTGGAGGTGATAACAGCTACTTTTCTGTCCACCTCCTCAGGGGCCTGTCCCTCTCCATCAGTTCTCTGCCCAGCATCTGTAATCCCCCCCCTTTCTCTGGGCTCCCATCTCATGACCCTCAGTCTTACCTTGGTCTCCTTTGGCCTTTATTTTTTATTTTATTTTATTTATTTTTTGAGACAGAGTTTCACTCTTGTTGCCCAAGCTGGAGTGCAGTGGCACAATCTTGACTCACTGCAGTCTCCACCTCCCCAGGTTCCAGCGATTCTTCTGCCTCAGCCTCCCAAGTAGCTGGGATTACAGGCACGTGCCACCACACCTGGCTAATTTTTTGTATTTTTAGTAGAAACGGGGTTTCACCATGTTAGTCAGGCTGGTCTCGAACTCCTGACCTCAGATGATCCGCCTGCCTCAGCCTCCCAAAATGCTGGAATTACAGGCTTGAGCCACCGTGCCCAACTGTCCTCTGGCCTTTAAAAAAGATAGTCCTCTAAGCATACTTGCCTGTTCAAGAGACCATCCAGTTATCCAGTTTCTCTCCATCATGTCATCTCTCAACTTCTCTAGCAAGCAGCCCTTTCCTGCTGGGCCTCAGTTTCCCCACCATCCACTCACTGCCTGTCCCTGGCAAAATCAGCCTTTGCCCTTCCTGCTCTGCTGAAGCTGTCTCTTGACAGTCACTCCCCACCCCACATCCTCTCCATGTGTCTTAATCTCCCAGTGTCTGCTCACCCCTCCTTAGATAGCCGGCTCCTCTCCTCCCTCTGGTGTCCAGATATGGGTGCTCTTGCCCTGACTCATGCCTTGAGTTCCTTGCCACTCCTGTACCTCTGGCTCTTCCTACAGTCCTGGCCCCTCTTCTGTCCCATATCGCCCATTCCTGCCGGGTGGCTCCTAGTACACAAACCTCTCTGTATCCAAACCTGAACATCCCCACCCAGGCCAACTGCCCCTACACACTAATCCCCTTAACCACAGAGCCTGTGATCTCTCTGTGCTGACTGAAGGCTTCCTCTGTTGAGGCTGGAATGCTGCCCTTTCACTTGCCCACCACTGCTACTCCAGGCCTTCCCTTCCCCACACCTGCCAGCCCTGCCTATTCCAGATTCCACAGGCTTGTGAGGAGAGATGGGGCCTAAGCTGCCTCCTAATAGCCCACACTCACCTTCAGAACCATGGATTCCTGTCCCACAGGTATGTCGGGGAGCTGATCTCTGATGCTGAGGCTGATGTGAGAGAGGATGATTCTTACCTCTTCGACTTGGACAACAAGGTGAGCAGGAGACCCCCCCTTATCCTGCTGCTCCCCAGGGCTGGCTTTCAGGAGCTCCTGGGAAGTTAGTAAATGGAAACCTGGGGATGAGGGACTGGGGAGTCAGTGGAGAGGGCGATCAGGGAAGCAGGGTAGGGGGAGATGTGAAGAGTGCCGTCCCCCCACCCCAGGATGGAGAGGTGTACTGCATTGATGCCCGTTACTATGGCAACATCAGCCGCTTCATCAACCACCTGTGTGACCCCAACATCATTCCCGTCCGGGTCTTCATGCTGCACCAAGACCTGCGATTTCCACGCATCGCCTTCTTCAGTTCCCGAGACATCCGGACTGGGGAGGAGCTAGGGTGAGACTCTAGGGGTCCCTAGGGGCTCTGCCAGAGGGTGGGAGATGCAGCAAACCTGGGACCTGAAGGCTGGCGTGTACCTGGTGTCCAGGCTTGGAGCAGTGCAGAGCTTCTCAGACTTCAGTGTACATAAGTATCTCCGGTGAGACTTGGTGAAACAGTCCTGCGCCTCCCAGCGAGATTCTGAATCAGGAGGCCTGGAATGGGACCCAGGATTCTGCATTTCTAACAAGTCCCCAGGCAGCACTGATGCTGCACGTCCATAGAACAGACAAAGGCTCAGATCCCACCTGGGGAAGATAGGTTGGATGCGGGGTCCCTCTTAGGGAGTGGGATCCACAGGGTCTTCCGGTTGGGCTCTTGGTGGCTGGGTCCAGCTCCTACAAGCTCCTGTTTTCCTCTGACAGGTTTGACTATGGCGACCGCTTCTGGGACATCAAAAGCAAGTATTTCACCTGCCAGTGTGGCTCTGAGAAGTGCAAGCACTCAGCCGAAGCCATTGCCCTGGAGCAGAGCCGTCTGGCCCGCCTGGACCCACACCCTGAGCTGCTGCCCGAGCTCGGCTCCTTGCCCCCTGTCAACACATGAGAACGGACCACACCCTCCCTCCCCAGCATGGACGGCCACAGCTCAGCCGCCTCCTCTGCCACCAGCTGCTCGCAGCCCTTGCCTGGGGGTGCTGCCATCTTTTCTCCCTACCACCCCTTCACACATTCCTGACCAGAGATCCCAGCCAGGCCCTGGAGGTCTGACAGCCCCTCCCTCCCAGAGCTGGTTCCTCCCTGGGAGGGCAACTTCAGGGCTGGCCACCCCCCTGTTCCCATCCTCAGTTGAAGTTTGATGAATTGAAGTCGGGCCTCTATGCCAACTGGTTCCTTTTGTTCTCAATAAATGTTGGGTTTGGTAATAAACTGCTATTTTTGTGTTGGGGTGGGGAGAAAGCACACTCTGCTGGAGGGAATGTGGGTCCAAGGGCCAGAAGAGGATGGGAAGCAGGCTCGATGGGTGTGGCTGCTGTGACGGCTGCCCAGTGTGGGGCGGGGAGGTGGGGGGTTGTGGGGGCCCGCTATGAAGATCCCATTTCCCAGGCGCAGTGGCGCACGCCTATAATCCCAGCACTTTGGGAGGCTGAGGCAGGAGAAACCTGAGGTCAGGAGTTCAAGACCAGCCTGGCCAACATGGTGAAACCCCATCTATACTCAAAATACAAAAAAACTTGCTGGGCGTGGTGACGGGCACCTGTAATCCCAGCTACTCGAGAGGCTGAGGCAGAACCGCTGAACCCAGGAGGCAGAGGTTGCGGTGAGCCAAGATCAAGCCACTGCACTCCAGCCTGGGCAACAAGAGTGAAACTCCATCTCAAAAAAAAAAAAAATACAGGTCCAATTTCCACACTTTAATCTTTGGCGGGAGCGTGTTGTGAGTGTACGGCAGTTAAGGTAGTTTGTGAGATTATAAAGTGTTTTCTTATCAGAGCATGCCAGGTCGTTCACTGTGGTCCGTAGTGCCCCCGGGAAATAGCCCTGAGCCCCAGTCCCAGGCTGCAGCTCCCCAACCCACTGGGCAAAAGTTGAGAAGAAGGAACTAGAGTGTGTCGGGGACCACAGGCGGGGGTGGGGCTGTGACGTGTAGGAGGGCGGGACAGGCAGCAGGTGAGTCGCCAGGTCTCCAGGGCTCCAATCACTCTGGAGACTGAACCATGGGGGGAAAACAGCGGGACAAGGATGATGAAGCCTATGGTGAGACCCGGGCAAGGCCCAGGACCCTGTGGAGGGAGGGGAGGACGGGTGCTACGGGAATGGTGGCTAGGGCTGGCTCCAGGTAGAGGAACTAAGGAGAGTCCTGTGTCCCTGAGGGGAGGGCCCGGGAACCGGGAGCCATGGAGGGAGGGAGTCAGGATCCTGGGAGGAGGATGGGGCTTGGGGGCTGGGGCTGTTGCTGGAGAGCCCGTGGGGAGTGAAGCTAGGTGCTTCTGAGGAGTTGGGGCTGAGGTCCTTGGGGGGAGGGAGAGATTTCAGGCTTGGACTCTGGGTCCCTAAGGGCAGGGCCCTAGGAAACAAAGCCGAGATGAAAGGTGGCAGGTTGGGGCCCTGAGCAGAATGGAGCTGGAGGCTGGGAGTGTACTGTGCTGCAGAGCCTGGGTGAGGCTAGGGTCCCTGTAAGGAGGAGGAGGTTCAGCCTGGAGTCTGGGTCCCTGACGGGGAAAGCTGCTTGTAGCCTGCCGGCTCCCTTAAGGAGTCAGGGGACCCTGAGTGGGCTGGCCTCCACCTGCCAGGCTCTCCGGGAGAAGTGGCAGAGGGAGTGGGTTCTGCTGGGCGTCCCTGTGAGGAGTTGGGGTGAAGGTCTTTGTGGAAAGGGGGCTGGGGTCCTGCCTAGGGGTGTCTGTGAGGAGCTAGGAGCAGGAGCTGGTCTTGGAGTACTTTGAGGAATAGAGACAGGGCCCCTGGGGTTCCTGTGAAGGGTGAGGCCTGAGGGGAGAAACGGCAGGGAGCCTGTGTCCAGAATCTGCGAGGAAAAGGGGCTGGGGTTCTGAGAAGAGAAGGAGCTAGGGGCCGGCGTCCAGATCCCCATGGGCAGCGAAGGCTGGGGACTCACCTGCAGAGTTTCTGCTCTGAAGGGGAAGGAACCCACATGAGGGACCTTCTCAAGGAGAGGCTCGAATCCCTTAGGGCCATAGGGGAGTGGGCAGTGAGGACTCCCGAGTAGACTTCCTGGAGAGGCTTCAGGTCAATCATTGTCCACAAGTCATGGAGGGACAGAGTCCAGGGCACCTGGGGAGAGCAGACCCCACCCGCCCCTTCCCAGACTCCTGCCCAACCCTCGGCCCTCCCTCCTCAGTGCCCATAAGGAACCCTGACTGCCCGGCCCTCCTCCTCCGTGTGTGTGTACTCAGGGAGGACCAGGAACTCAACGTGCCTGCAATCTCTGTAGCCGGGCTCAGGTGTCACTCTGACTGCTGGCCCAAAGCCCGGAGCATACTGTGGCCAGAGGGCTGAGGTCCCACTGGAGTGAGGATGTACAGGGCTGCTTCCCTCCCCAGGCCCTGCTGGGGTTGACACCTTTGTCTCCAGTTTCTTTTCCCATAGCCTTGAACCAGAGTGTAAGGCAGGGCCTGGGACAGATGTGGGAAGAAACTATGACCTCCCTGAGGGGACTGTGGGTCTGTGTGGTCCCCGGGGAGGGATTAGGGAGGAGAGAGGGGTGAGAATGAGGGTGTGAGAGCCACTGGGAGTCCCACATCCCAGCTAAAGGGAGACTCAGGAGAACCATGCGAGGGTAGGGCAGGGGACCAAGGCCATTTCCCAGACTGACTGCCTTGAGATGTGAGCCGGAAACTATAAAGGCCTTCCTTCCCCTCCCCGTGGCCGCCTGGGTGGAGTTCCCAGGGAGCTGCTGAGCTGCTGACCAGGCCTGGATCCTACCTTTCCTACTCCCCAGTTTTCCCCTCCTGCAAGTCCTGCTCTAGCCCATCTCCCTCCAAACACCTGAGGCCTGGGTAGGATCCTGGGGCTAGGAGGACTCAGCAGGACAAGATATGCAGAGAGAGACTCACTCTCCACACCTCTTCCCGTGTCCCTCAGGGAAGCCAGTCAAATACGACCCCTCCTTTCGAGGCCCCATCAAGAACAGGTGAGCTCTGGGTACTGCTCTGGGGGCTGGCAGGGGTGGTGGGTGCAGTGTGGAATCCAATATCTGCTTTGTATTTGCTAAAATATTGGTAAGAAACTTGTGAAAAAGACGAACTCCTGCCCCAGGCACGTGGTGCCCTGCGGGGATCGTTGTGTCTGGAGCAGGCATCCAGGACTTCCCAGTCCCGGGGGATGTTCTGTTTCTTAAGTGCGGGCTTCACAGGTGGGAGGACTCACCCCGCTGAACCCTTGAGAGCTGTGTGCTTTCCTGTCTTTTGCTTCAGAAGAAAGTTTACCCACCCAGAAAAAAGTTTCCTTTCTTTTTGTGTTTTGGAGATGGGGGTTCACTGCAGCCTCAAACTCCTGTGCTCAAGTGATCCTCCTGCCCTAGCCTTCTGAGTAGCTGGGACTACAGGCATGCACCATCACACCAGGCTAATTTCTTTGAGATGGGAATCTCATTATGTTGCCCAGGCTGGTCTCAAACTCCTGGCCTCAAGTGATTCCCCTGCCTTAGCCTCCTAAGTAGCTGGGATTACAGTCATGAGCCAATGTGCCTGGCTAGGTTTTCTAAATAAAATAATATATTTTTAAAAACTTAGCTGGGCAGTAGTGGCACATACCTGTAATCCCAGCTACTTGGGAGGCTAAGGCAGGGGAATCACTTGAGGCCAGGAGGCAGAGGTTGCAGTGAGTCAAGATCGTGCCACTGCACTCCAGTCTGTGTAACAGAGTGAGACCCTGTCTCAAAATAAAACAATAAAAGCAATAAAAAATAAAAATAAAGCCTACTGATGCCCACGCTGCACCATCCCCCAACTCTCTAACCCTTGACCCCTCCAGACCATAAGCCCTACCTCCCCAAGTCTCCTTAGCTCAGCCTCCCATTTCTCTCTCAGAAGCTGTACAGATGTCATCTGCTGCGTCCTCTTCCTGCTCTTCATTCTAGGTTACATCGTGGTGGGGATTGTGGGTGAGTTTCCAGCTGCTCAGAGCCGGGGCAGTGGGCGAGGGACAGTAACCCAGGGAGGGACCATTCCTGTAATTGCCCCACTAAGTCCCTGCCCTCCAGTGACTCACCTGTGCCTTTGTCCGCAGCCTGGTTGTATGGAGACCCGCGGCAAGTCCTCTACCCCAGGAACTCTACCGGGGCCTACTGTGGCATGGGGGAAAACAAGTGAGTACAAAGGCGAGAAGAGGAGGGCAGGAGCGAGGTCAGGTGGGGTGGGCAGGAGACACTCCCCCCCCCAACTCAGGCTCCAGACCTGTCCGTGCTCTTCCACAGCCATTCCCTGCTGTCCCCACCCCACCTCGGTCTCCCTGAATCTGACCACTCCAGGTCACACTGAGAACCACTGCTGGACAGTTAGCTTCTTGAGTCCCCCCAGAATGGGAGGCAGTGGAGTTGTGTTAAGTGTATGAGTTTTACCGTTCAGAGACCGGTGTCTGGATCCCCAACTGGACCAACTTTTGGTTGCGTGGCCTTGGGCAAGTTACTCAGGCTTTGATTTCCTTATCTGAAATTCAAGGAGAATTCCATAAACAATGCCAAGAGTCCTCACCTGCAGATGTCCAATAAGTAATAAAACCTCTAATATGTGTATAGCATTTACTATGTTCCAGGAAGGCAGTAAACTTTACACACACACACTCATTGAAATCTCATGAGGTAGGCACTATTCTTTTTTTTTTTTTTTTTTTTTGAGACGTAGTCTCACTCTGTCGCTCAGGCTGGAGTGCAGTGGCATGATCTCGGCTCACTGCAAGCTCTGCCTCACGGGTTCACACCCTTCTCCTGCCTCAGCCTCCCAAGTAGCTGGGACTACCAGCGCCCACCACCATGCCCGGCTAATTTTTTTGTATTTTTAGTAGAGACGGGGTTTCACCGTGTCAGCCAGGACAGGATGGTCTCGATCTCCTGACCTCGTGATCTGCCCACCTCGGCCTCCCAAAGTGCTGGGATTACAAGCGTGAGCCACTGTGCCTGGCCCACTATTCTTTTAGATGGAGTAGAACCAAGACCGAGAACAAGTGACTTGCTCAAGATCATAAAGATAATATGAAGTCATGGAGCTCCAAGTTCATGCTCTGAGCCATTTGTCAGCTGCTGCAATGCTGACTTACCCTGAGAGATCTTCTAGGCGTCTCCCTACCTCCCCAGCTGAGCTAGGGCCAGGAGCTGGGGGGGTGACTGGTCTGGGCCACGCTGGACTGGGCCCACTGTATTCTTGAGAAATCACCCTAGTGGTCCCTCCCCTCCCCCAACACCTGACCAGGCCCTGATGCACACGGTCCCTCCCCTCCCACAGAGATAAGCCGTATCTCCTGTACTTCAACATCTTCAGCTGCATCCTGTCCACCAACATCATCTCAGTGGCTGAGAATGGCTTACAGTGCCCCACGCCCCAGGTCAGAGCCTGGGACCTGCCTCTGCCCCAGATCTCACCCAGGGTCTCAGGTTCCAGCCCCTTAGCATTCTCTCTGCGCCCAGGTGTGTGTGTCCTCCTGCCCAGAGGCCCCATGGACTGTGGAAAAAAACCAGTTCTCGCAGACTGTTGGGGAAGTCTTCTATACAAAAAACAGGAACTTTTGTCTGCCAGGGGTACCCTGGAATATGGTGAATATTGCCCCTAACCTCATCACTGTCGCCCAGGAGGGCTCAGGGTGGGTGCAAGTGGGAGGGGGAGTTGGGTAGATGATCACCAGGTTGGCTCTCCTGGGGCGTGTAGGACAAGCTGAGCCCCATGGTGGTGGTGAGGGGACCCGCTTCTTCATCCTGCTCTGTGTCTGTGTGTCTGTCCTTTCACTCCTGACACAGATGGTGATCACAAGCCTGCAGCAGGAACTCTGCCCCAGTTTCCTCCTCCCCTCTGCTCCAGGTGAGAAGCACAAATTCCTTCCTCAGACATCACCTAGTACAATGTTTTCTTTT